ATCTCAAAAACACTTCAAAAATATTTCAACATATTAACCGGATTTGAAGTCCGGTCAACCTTGTCCGGATATAGAATCCGGGCAAACACTTGAAATTTAGTCAATATCTTTGTCCGGATTACAAGTCCGGACAATACCCCGTTCACAACTTAACCGGTTTAAAGTAATCCGGACAATACATGGTCCAACTTTTGACCGATTTAAAACAATCCGGTCAATACACCGCCAAACTCTTGAGCGGTTTAGACGAGATCCGGTCACCTCTTGACCGGTTTAGGGAGGACTCCGGACAACACTTGAGCGGTTTAAAAATAAACCGGTCACCTCTTGAGCGGTTTTCTATCCGGATAAGATTGTCCGGATATTAATCCGGACACCACTTGAACGGTTTAAACAAGAATCCACATAAAATGAAACAGAATTCATAACAACTAGTTCCAAATGCTACTAAATTGTATGTAAACAATTTATATCCAAAGCTTTAATACACTCACCTTTAGAAATCGAATATCAAAGCTTTTGAATCCTCTTCTTGCAATCCGTATGACTTCAGAGAAAACTTTCTAAATATAGTGTGTGTGTCAACTTTCATCTTCTCCACTTTCTATATATATATATATATATAGTATAGAGGAGAGGTGGTGGGCGGCACAACCAGCCGACCTCCCCCCCCCCCTTTTCTTTTTAAAATTAATTCTCAAATTTATCATATAAACATAACACACACATATACATATATATATATATATGTTAAAGAAAATCTTAAATCAAAACTTGAAACCCGACTATTACAACATTCCCTCCTTAAAAGAATTTCGTCCCGGAATTTCCGTTTAAGCAAAAAGGTAAGGATATTTCATCCGCATCTCGGATTCTGATTCCCAAGTAGCATCTGGTCCCTTATGATAACGCCATTGAACCTTTACTAACCCAATCTCTTTGTTTCGTAATTTATTTGCTTTATAGTCAGTGATCTGTTCAGGAGTTTCTTCAAAGTGTAATCTCTCATCTACCTTAATCTCAGGTAATGGTATTGCCACATCTGGACTTATTAGATACTTCCTCAAATTTGACACATGAAACGTGTCATGAAGTCCACTTAATTCCAAAGGAAGTTCTAATTTGTAGGCCACTTCCCCAACCCTTCCAATAATAGTGAACGGTCCAATATATCTTGGACTTAATTTTCCTCTTTTTCCAAAACGTACCACTCCTTTCCAAGGTGATACCTTTAACATCACTCTATCACCTTCTTGAATTTTAATCGTTTTTCAATATTTATCTGCATAACTTTTTTATCTATCTTGTGCCGCTTTCATCCGTTCTCGTATTACTCCAATTTTATCTGCAGTTTGCTGAACTAATTCAGGCCCAACTAACTTTTTTCACCTATTCCATTCCAACACAAAGGAGTTCGACATTTACGTCCGTACAGTACCTCGAAAGGTGCTGCTTGAATACTTGAATGGTAGCTATTGTTGTATGCAAATTCCACCAAAGCCAAATGACTATCCCATGATCCTCCAAAATCAATGACACATGCTCTCAACATATCTTCTAAAGTTTGAATAGTTCGT